AATTGAAAATATTCTAAGTCCAAATGATTAATTTGGAAATATTCTAAGTCTAAATGATTAATTTGGAATGGTGTCTGGCGTGAAGGTGCTTGCACTGACTCTGGWGGCTCACGTCTGATTTTGTTCTATTCGGGGCTTTTGTATATAGTCCTACTCTCTGGGTTTCCTCTYCTATTGATAATATAAGTATGTGTCCATGGTCGAATCACGCGGTATCATTAGGATACCGCAGCATCCCACGCTCGTGCGGCCGTTCGGTTCACATCCTGTTATTCACGAGTTCACGTCACRCGTMATCTCCATGAAYCGTCTGAGAGCTGATGCCCATATTAGATTATTTATTTATAACAATTTTACGGGACAAGCCCTTTAACAAAAGAAGATAAATAATCTTGACATCTAATAACACAAAGAAAATATAATATATAGGTACAATGAAAGTTTTGTTTAAATTAAGTGGTATAATACATAAATTGTGATAGTATATTACTTATGATTTAATTAGAAAAAAAAATCAACATCATTACAAATTAAGTTGCATAACGAAAGCGCTCTCGGGAAAAAAGAATCAGTACAACATTTTTTTTTTTTAAAAGGCACAAAAAATAAATTTGAGCTTCTAATTGAATAATTATGAGATACAATACCAATCTTACTTAACAACTCGGTATATTCAATATTGTTATTTAGGAGATCATAAATAAATAATATGTCAGATATCTTACGTCTAACCTCGCATGGCTGAATACAAATAGAATGACGTAATAATGACATTGAGTCTTTGGAGATCGATGTATTTAAGCAGAAAGCAATTGATTTGAGAAATTTATATTGAACATTGTCAACTAGTTRATTGGTCGAATTRTGATTCCATATCAATGAACCATATTCTAAGTTTGATCTAACAAGGGAGCAATAGAGTGTTTTTAGTACTTGAATATTTTTTWATTCTCTAGTATTTCTTAATATAAAACCAAGCATTTTAAATGCTTTGTTAATAAAYAAATTAGTATTAGCAGTAAAAGACAAACTACAGGAAAAAAGCACGCCCAAATCCCTAACTGARTCCACTCGGTTGATAATAATATTAWTAATCTTATAATTGAAAACTAAAGAATCTTTTTTTTWGTAAAAGAGATAACGTTACATTTATTAATATTTACTGGTAATAAATTATCGTGACACCATGTGGAAAACCTGTCTAAATTTACTTGGAGATTAATTGCATCATTCWGATTATAATAATTAATGATCTCCATGTGGTCCTATCAATACTACAATTTCGTACTTAACCGATGCCTCTTWTAGATGATATAWTTGATATAATTAATATATAATTAATCTCCATTGTTATGATAATTAGGAAAAGTCYCCGAGTTTTGGCCTTCTACTCAGCTATTGAGGTCCTACACAACGTAATCGGTTGGTGAAATCATATGCCCCAGGGACACTTACGTACATCTACGTGTATATGTGTATTTAGGTGTCTTAGCGGGACGTCAGTACATAGCAATATAAATAAATAGGAATTTAATTCTAATTAAAWTATTGACAGTTAAAAACTTGTTATGAGGTAGATCCTGAATTTTGAGAAAGGGAATAATAAAATAATAAACTATTTAAGCACGTATAAGGTATAACCATCGTCCGACACTCGTATTGTTCAAGTACTTCTGTTGGTTCACTCAATAAAGATTTTTTGGTAGACGTTATAACGTTATAAGAATCGCCCAAGGTCCTGCCTTTTTACGAGCTTGAGTACTTATCATGATTATATTACCTTCTTGATTTAATTGATATTAAAATATATTTTWATTATTTTAATATTCAATATTGCTAACACAAAATTCAAAAGCTAATTATTTTATTATTATTTCTACGAGTTCTGTACCTTGATATGTTTTTTTTTTTTTTTATAACGCGATCAAACTTTTTTTATTAGGGGGAATCCGTGGCAACATAGATGAACTTTTTTGACTCCAAATTGTCGATACTACAAATTTTTTTCCGATCCCTAGAATTTTCTGTTATTATATTATCTTTGGATAACTCAAATTCTTGATTGCYTGAAATTTTAGCCGGCCACTTTAACTACGAGTTATTCATTTCCGACTATATATATTAAATAATTGAGCCGGGTAGAATTATATTTATTATTATTTAAATTTTTGTTTAATAAATAAGTAACATTTACAATATTTACAGTAAAAGAAGTTACAATAAGCAAATAGGTTAACATAATATTATATTGGACATGGTGACGTGGAGAAGGGAAGCTATCCAATGAGAGGACTCTTAGATGTGTTTCGRTTAGATTTTATGGGACCTTATTTTAAACTAAAAGTTCACAGCACCAACGTCTTTTAAGTCGACGAGGTAGGTTGTCGAGGATTGTGACCGTATGTTGTTGAAAAATTAGTGAATTATRATGCAGAAATAATTTTAAATAGAACTTTTTATAGTGCGTTTAACTAAATCTTTAAATGATTCAATGTTTAGGTCTTTGTGTAGGGTAAGATTTAACGGTGCAAACCATTTGCGCCCATCACACCTTTTTATAACCCACTTACCAYTTACGCCCGAAATCATAACCCATTTGCGCCCGAAATATTTTTAACAAAAATGTGTTAAACCCGTACGACGTTGCCAAACTGTATTCTGGAATACAAGCAATACTTCTTATTACCTTATAAAGTTAAAACTATTTTACATATTATTTTTCCCATTTTAACAATTTTTAATTTTTACGTTACACTCTTAAGGTTGTCACACACTGCAGCGGTGATGGTAAAATTCTTTTGTCTTGGCGGTAAAATTGGGTCCCGCTTCATTTTGCCGTAACCGTCACCGCTGCAGTGTGTAACCTTTATCAATATTATCGAATTTTTTATTATATTTTGACGTGTGAAAAAAACAACAGTATTAATTTTTATAATAATTGCATGTACTTAACCATATATTGTATTTTATATAATTTTATGTGAAATGAATTATGACTACAGTAAATCAAACTTAGTGTGAATTAATTAAGTGTTGTTTAACTTAGAATTCTTAAATTTAATATTAGTTATTGTTATATTGACTAATTTTTTTAAACCCAAAATGTT